GAAGCCGTAAGTATTCGGATTCACAAACCCCCCTTGTGCGCCCAGAAGAAATTTGTGCAAGCACTTAATCTCCCCTGGCTCACTTCAGTCATTTGAACAAATGTATAACTCATTGAATTAACAACATTCATTCCATCTGTTAAACTAGCGTTATCGATTTTAGTAGCTTAGCTGCAAATTTATCAGTGAAAATGTCTCAGTTGTTTCTCATGGGGAGTAACTTAATTGTTGGCTTATTCGAGTGATCTCAATATGCTGTGAATGCCGCAAGTTCAGTCAAAATTATCTTCATTTCCAAGCGACAAATAACCAATGCAGTTTGCCAAAGTTTCATCAACTGTATGTTTCTTTTCACCGCTATCATTGCATTTTCTGGCGTTACGGTAACACTCGTTCCCATAAACTGACCCAGCGTATTGGGGATAGCCAGTGTTAGCAACCGACGGACCAGGGAGAAAGAAATTGAAGTTTTTCTGCAAATACCAGTGAATGATTTGCCAACAACTAGCTCGTTCGCCATTGTGTTTCACTTGCAAAGTGTGACAACAATGTGTTCGACAATTTAGGTGATTGAATATATTATTCCCATAACGCTATTCTTGAACATATAGAAATCCCGGTTTATGGAAAACTAATCCGAATTAGACTCAATATTTGAAAAACAAAAACGTTCCTAACAGAACCGCTAAACCCGATAGTCTTAGTTTTTCTGTGCCATGTAAAAATAGTAAAACTCACTCCAGTTGTGTGTTAACTTGATCAATCAAATTTGCCATGTGTTCTCGAGCACGCTGTACCGCTTCGACTTCCTAGAAGGGATCGAAAAGGCAATAACCATTATGTCAACTCACCCGTACTAGCGGAATATGAAAGACAAGTTTTTGCAAACAACTTCCAATGAAATGCAATTTGAGTCCGTTACTTCACACCAGGATTCACGTCCAAGCAATCCAGCAGACCTCACAAAACCGAGTCGGGCGGTTCACGTGACATAACAACAATATGCACTATAACAGAACCAATGCAGAATGATGCACAGGCATGTAGACATTACTCTTCATTCCGTTGAATCTGATATCAGTCTCCATCCAACCCGCTGATGCAATATCTTCCCATATGAACTGCAATCGTTTCATCAATAATTATTGAAAGGTGTTGCTTGCTTGCCATTGTCTTCCGTCACATTTTTATGGTTGATCAATTTGTGTATGGTGATCGAAAAGTAGCAATAGACAATTGGTTTATGATTGTAGAAGCTCATCAGTGGAGTGCCCCAACTTTGTTTCCCTGTTACAGCAATCGAACCGCGGCCTCACTAGTAAATTCTGCTGGCAACCACACTTTCGTTCGATTATGCCTACCTGCTGTTACTGCTGATACCAGTTTAGATTAAGTGACCAGGTGACCTTTGCTTTTGGTTCCATTTGATATCATCTAGTACGGTATTCGCAAAGAGGAATTGTAGTTAGGCTCCCTGGATAAGGACCCGAGATCATGGTAACCGTTGGTTAAAGACACTGAGTGACGGCTGTTGTCGCTAACAGCGGCGCTTGTGCTTCTTCTCATTATTCTTCCAACTCCAGTCTATATTATTGCTCTATCTTTATTTAGACTCTACTTTCAGCACTCCAATCTTCATTGTGCTCTTTTATCCAAATGGGCAACCAAAAGACAGCAACCAAAGCCGATACATGAAAATGCATGATTAATGGTTGTGAAAACTGAAACTGAACTGAACTGTGGTGACCCAACACGACATGATTTCCGTCAAAGAGATACGTAATACCGTTTATTATTCCAAAATACCCTCAAAATATAGGAAGAACAAGAAAGCTGACTGACTTATACATCAGTTTGACTTGTCTGCGTAAACAAACCACTGTTTTCGGTATTCTTCCTGCGTCTTGGAGTAGCGTAGCTCTGAAGGCCTACCAAGCATTGAGCAGCTGAACCTGCAGGTCAGTCCGCTGTAGATCGAGGAGTAGGTGAGTGGTTTGATTCGGGGTAACACACCGAAATAAGTGATGCACATAGCTATTTGGCATCAATGCTCAATACTGGTGGCCGTGATATAAATTCCCTGTTAAAGAATCTCTTGATTTTCGAAGTCTCTACAACGTTACTTTATGGAGCATGTGATGACGACTGATTCCCTAAGCGCGACGTTCGCTGCACCTCAGTGTCGTTCGTAAATTCATTACCAAACACCATTCTTTTTACATTTATCAGGTCTGGTCGATCGCAGATTTGCATATACGTGTCTCGTTGTCTGCGCCGGAGTTAACATTCAAAGTGGTTATTTTACCTTAGTAGATATATATACATTAAGGCGATCAGTTACAATTAGTCCACCATTCGATGTATCCGTCCAACGATCCGGCAATTTGATATTCCAAGGTATTTGCAAAGTAGCACTGACAGGAATCAATGGCTGAACCCTTAGGTGAGTATGCGGCACCTGATGTCGCACCTCATGGTAATCAACGTGGGTGAGTGCTTGAAGGATAAACAGCCTACTACCCGCTGTACATATGCCATGTGTGGAACCTGTTCATTCCACTACAACCCAGGTTTCGTACTGTATCTTGAACTGTTTCGTAGTTATGACAGTGATCACCGGCTCGATTGGGCATCAAGGTGTATTGGGTACGTTGGACGTTTGATAAAATCCAAAGGGTTTGGGATCCGATGAACTGGATACCGGCCCCAATGGATTGTGGTTTTCACACACCAACTGCCTTGCTGAGAAGGCTTTGGCTAGGCGAAGGCTCCGGTTATGAATTCCTTAAGAAAATTCAACTGTCTTGGATTGGGAAACATGGTAGTATTCCATCCACAAACAAGTCCTAGAAGTTTCTCTTTTTTATAAAGATTACTGTACTCAGATTTGTTGGGCCCAATTTCTGGATTCAGACGCGTGTAAAATATATATAAAGATATATACATATAAATATAATTAAAAGCATTAGACTTTTCATCATCACATCTTCCCAAATGCATTGGTTGTCCAAGAAAACTCAAAGGCCAGGATCTTGACTGTGGGTTCTCGATAACTCAAGTCCCTATTCTGTAAAAGAAACGCAACAGAATTGTAAATCTAAATCGCCGGTTGACGACTGCCATACTGGCTGGAGTCCACCTGATGCGCATACAACAACTAGAAGGAATTCCGGGTGCTGGGCCTTAATATTTATTATAATAATAGTTGTGCTTCAGTCCAACTGGTTCATTTAGTTTGACATTCTATCGAAACAATAGTCTCGAATAGGGGAGTTTTGCAAAGAATTCAACCTAAAATTACGCTGTATTTTACCTATAGAAAGGTAGTATACCTTATAGTATAATATATATGGAGAATAACACGTAACCACAAACTCCACAAAATCATTATGTTTTTTGAGCCTCACCGGTTAAATGAAGTATGGTTGAATGAAAAGTCGTTTGAAATTGAATTTTACCAGAACAAAATAGAGGATAATCTGGATCAGGAAAGGCCATGAAATTACTAATATATTTTAGCTGCCATTTTACTAGAGAGCAAAAACAATACATGTAAGGCTAACTGTCAAATCAATACCCTTGTCTACTAGACATTTACAGGCAACTATTTCACTTCGCATCATAAAGAACTCTGTGAGGTGTTAGAAATACCGCACGATCTATTAGCCTAGAGAGTAAATCTCGAGGGACCCTAGAAAAGCTGGATATTTTTAACGATTGGTTGTCAATTTTTATCCGTTTCAAACCTATTGGTATTTCGAATTCAGTGCACTGAGGGTAATGCATGTTGGGTTTTATCTCGCTTTTCTCAAGAATACCGCTTCAGCTGCAGCGTTACATAAAAACTATTGGAAAAAATATGATGTTATCAGCTAATGCACACCTATGACACTTGTCGACCAAACAGTGAATTATCGCAGATTTGACTTTATTACGGGCCTGCAAGAACCAAGACAGAACAAACCAATCACATCAGAGCTTAGTGTTTTATACCAACACCGAGTTCAGTTTATTTCTAGGTCGTTTCGTAGCATTTGTGACCCTTAAAATGAAAGTATAAAATTTCATATTATTGAATGGGTGTGATGCCGATGACATCAAACCGCGTTACATCAATCCAATTAACCTAATTTAATTTGTGAGTAATGGAGGATTTGATTCAATTTCATAGAAGGAATTCGTCTTGCATACAGTAAATGAAGCGTGAACTGCAAAGCTAGGAAGCACTGTACAGCTTTCCAGTTCGCGCCTCATTTACTTTATACACGAGTCCCTTCTATGATATTGAATCAAACCCTCTATTACTCACATGAAACAAGTAGTCAAGTGGTGAATGTTTCCGACTGAATCATAACCCCGCAGGCTAATGCTAATATGACCAAGGCGCAATGCCCGCAACAAGCTCGCAAAGATTGGTTGTGCTATATCGTGTAAATGGAAACTGAAAAACGGTCTATTTCACCATTCCGGTTATAAGCTTTTGCAGGATTCGACAAATTTGGGATTTGAGGAACGATGAAGGTGATATTGCTCGTTCAATCAAACTGTCCTAAGACATTCAGAAAATAAATTTTTCTAACCTTTAAATGTTGGTTTTCAAAACTTTTACTCTGAATTTATTTGTTCGTTTTTCATCGTTCATCTGTTTAGATTTCCTGTAGTGTCTGTTTTATTTACGTTTGATATTCTACTGACATAATTCCCCAATGGGAAGAAAGACCTTTGAAAACACTCATCAGCTGCTTTATCCTCCGTATCATTGGTTATATAATGAAATTGTGATGCTTGGAACGCCGGTATGATGGGTCGTGAGTTGTAGCAGTTCTCCCTATGTTAAAAGTATTAAAAATAAATGTCTTTTTACTTCCTTTTTCTATTTATTGCATATACGAATGTACAGTAAACTTTCAAGAACGGGGCTGCGGCCATACAAAGGCTGCCTGGGGATAATACAGACGGGCGGCGATGGAGCGGTTTGAACCCGTAACACCGAAGTTACTCTTAATAACTTCATTGCTTATATACACCCCAAAATTACCCGCCGTGCACAAATTCACTCCTCTCATCTAATGGTAACCTGCGTCCCTTAGATAGAGTTAACCGTATTGGCAACCCACTTTGACCTGTATTGGTAATTAAGACGCTGGCACTACATGATGCTTAGGATTTAAAAAATCTACAAAGGTACATCAGTGAGGAACATAATGAAAATGCCTCCTGAACACATCTCACGATACGGTTGGACATCTAAGAGCATAGCGGGAAGAGCAGTCCTATTCCAGTCCCATTAAGGATGGTTCTAACCGAGTCCTATTGGTTTGTTTAAAGTAACAATTTTATGTCCGGTTTTGTGAGCGATATCAACCATAGCTCGGCATATGTAAGGTATCCCGAAGAATCAAATAAACCGACCTAATTGCATGTTTCCTTTTTCCTTGTCTTGTGAACCCAAGGGATTGCCCCCAGCAGGAGAACACGGATAATGCCAGCAAATAGTAGAATAGAGACACCCGAGGCGTTGTTGTTTTGTTTGATATCCCCCTGTACTCGTTCTCCTGACTTGACGCTCCCAGACGAGTGACCCGAGTTTCCGTCCTGCCTCAGGCTACCCTTTTGTATGTAAAATAGCACCCATTGGATTGCCGTAATGAACGCATCAACTCACTTTATGAAATTCTTATTCCTCACAAAATCCAATAGCAATTAGGAATTATCCTAATTGCTGTTGGATTTTGTGAGCATGCTCGCGGTGATGGATTTCTGTGAGATGGACGCGTAAACGTAAATTCATTGTGTTATTACCAATAACCAGTTTATCAGGATCCCGTTGCTGTCTATCACTGTCCGAACTGTGACCTGTGCTAGCAATCTATCCGTCTCTACGAAATCCTATACGTCGTACACACACAAAATTCTTCCACATGATCCGTAAGATGACGTATTCAAGCCAGTGTATCAGCTCTTGTTCCTTCAACTCTTGTTCCGGAATCGGTATATTATGTGAATATAACGAAATTGGCTCAGTCAGACAATTTGAATTCACGCCAATCTGAAGAATGTTCTCTCACAGTACCGGAAGTGTTTTCCATTGCAGAGAAAGTGCAATCTGTTAACACGAGTAAGTGTGAGATACAATCATGTGAGTTCAGTTGCTGGAAGAGAACTCAAAGTACCCCAACGTTGGGTGAAGCATAGTATCTTAATATGTAGGACATACCTTCGTGCGTATTGCTGTATCGCTGCTAACATTAAACTGATAACAACTAGCAAAATGAGTCCATTTTTATCGCCAAAACGGTTGCCGGTAAATCCAATAAACCATATGATCATCTTATCATACCAGGATTGCACTTAAGAAAACCTTTCCGGATGAAATATATATCTAAGTGCTTGAACGTATGGAACGTTGGACACGAATAACCGAGCCGAAGCTGAATTGGGGAAAATTCAACAAAAGCATTACTTGCACACTGCAGCCAAAATTATCTTATAGTGAGTAAGATAATGTGAAACCAAAACAACATCGCCAATCGTAACGGACGACATTACACATGAACACAAAAAGCGAGAGAGGGTAGATGAGAAAACCTGTTTCATCGAGTCAACACAATTCACTCGAACTAACTAACTCGTCACGGCGAACGGGATGACCGTACGGAGTTTTTAGGTATAAACAATACTCGTCGACCAGATGCGTCAGCTAAAAAATCTGTTTTCCAAAAAGAACGCAATACTTTCCTTTCACGAGTTTCGTCTCCATGTGACAAAAAATTGGCCTTGTTCGCACGCTATTTCATCGCGCTCGTGAAATATGCACAGAGAACTCTTTAAACGATGAAATTTACCTCATAAATGAAGTAAATGGATATCCAGTTGCATTCATCACCAAGAAAAGTAACACCCAAAAGTATAAAACTCAATAACTGTCCCAAAAATAAAAACTTTTTTAAGTTAGTATACCAAGGCGATGACGTGAGTGAAGTAGTCACCAAGCAGTTGAACTCCACCATCAAGCGAGTCTATTACGAGTTGACCCAGTCATTGTCTCCATTACCACACGGATACCAGCGACATATGTGAAAGAACTGTTACCCTCTTCCGCCAAGTCAAATTGTATTTACCAATTCAAGTGGAATTGCTCGGTCATCTGTATAAGCATGACAGAGAGGCAGTTACGTCACCGAAAGGCCCAGCACATCCCGATGTGGATTAAAAAAGCGAAGGACGACAAGTTTGTACATGGTACGCTTTCGAATGGTCAAAAAAGACTTACATCTTTGACAACACAACAACTATTCGAACCCAAGCATGAACACCGTCTACGCTTTGTACGCGCATGCTCTACCAGCTGAGCTACGAGACCACATCGATAGCACTGATCCTTTCACATTTGAATTTACCCATCCAACTTACAGAGGAATATGACATCCACCAATTTACATGTAAGCTGACTGCCCCCACAGGTTTTCCTCAGGATTCACCGGATTCCACCGAATGAGCTTCTAAGACAAAGTTCATTGTTCAAATTGTTGTTTGGCAGATTTGAAGTTTGTATGTCGATTGTGAAAAGTTCAGTAGCCTCGGTGGGATTGGAACCCACGCATGGACGCCGCCTACGCTTTGTACGCGCATGCTCTACCAGCTGAGCTACGAGGCCACACCGATAGCACTGATCTTTTCACATTCCAATTTACTCATCCAACTGACAGAGGCATGTGGCATCCACCAGTTCGCATGTAAGCTGACTGCCCCGACAGGTTTTCCTTACAATTCACCGGACTCCACCGAATGAGCTTCTAAGACAAGGTGAATTGTTCAAATAGTTGTTTGCCACATTTGAAGTTTGTATGTGGATTGTGAAAAGTTCAGTAGCCTCGGTGGGATTGGAACCGACGCATGGACGCCGCCTACGCTTTGTACGCGCATGCTCTACCAGCTGAGCTACGAGGCCACACCGATAGCACTGATCTTTTCACATTCCAATTTACCCATCCAACTGACAGAGGCATGTGGCATCCACCAGTTCGCATGTAAGCTGACTGCCCCCACAGGTTCTCCTTAGAATTCACCGGACTCCACCGAATGAACATCGAAGACAAGGTTCATTGTGCAAATGGATGTTAGGCAGATGCTTGGGTTCGAATGCTACCGAGGATACTGAACTTTTCATAATCGCCATACAAACTTCAAATCTGTCAAACATCCATTTGCACAACACCTATATAGCATTGTGTCACTCCAACCCACGGATTTCAGGCCATCGACAACAAAACAGACAGATAGACAGACAGACAGACTGACACGCACACACACGCATATATATATATATATATATATATATATATATATATATATATATATATANTACAGTGGTCACCCGATGTTGCAAACAAGGTTATTGTGACGAAATTACACTTCCTGGGTACAAGTATATGAATGAACTGACAAAGGATTACAGGATACGCATGCCTGACCAGCGACAAGAACCGCGAAACAGGTCGTGTGCTTCCAGGGAAATTTTGTTCAGTCATTCCCATACTACTTATTATCAAACATAGTCATTCATACTCTACTACCCGGTCTATGCAAACAACGTGAATGGTTAGTCACATTAGCCTTACGTTGGTGATTTACCCCTACCCTCCCTCGTTGTCTTCGTGTTGTTGTGTCGCGTTGTCCGTTATGATTACCGATATTGTCTTCGTCTCACATTTATTGTCTAAATTACTATTAAAATCACTTTACTTACAAAATTCACGTGTACAGATGCAGCGAAATGACCATGAATACATCGTGTTTCTGACCTCTCAATTCAAATGTGTGACCGGGAATCAGTGTTTTGAAACCAAATTCCCAATGGTGTGTTCGAATTCCGATTGATTCACGCCTGATGCTCACATTGCAATGTCTCTCAATGAAAATTTGAATTTTATTAAGTTGGGAGTGTGAGTGTATGCGGTGTCTTACGTTTCCATATACTTTTATATGTCATCATTATACAGCTTGTTTTAATATGCACAGTAATCATTAACACAGTACAAAACTCTGTTCATGACTACACACGTGTTTGTTCTTCGAGTGTTGCTGAAGCATTACGCGTACACCATCAGTTATCGTCAAGCGGTCCGCTAATTGTCACAGCAGTCCTTCTCAGCTCCACCACTCAATATGAACCGGAATCACACTTTCGAGGAACAGAATTCATTAACCAACCGGACAATTTTCCTGTACTTTTCATTTCATTATTATTTGTACATGTAGTATCATTTCCACCACAAGTAAAACGGTTATGTTCAGTACGCCAGGAAATCAGTCTTTGCTATTTTCAGGGATTCCTATTGCAATTGAACAGTTTGGTTGGGTACAGTATACCATGGTAAGACCCTGCAGGGTCTAAGTGACGAATTGACACTAGCGAATAGAGATAAGCGGGATAAATATTAGAGTAGCGTTTTAAAGTGAAAGGCCCTTGAGCAATCGTTCCGGAGTCCTATTCGAGTCCCATGTGAGCTCTACTAGAGACCCATCCGAGTCCCATTTGAGTCTTGTTTTGGTTGCAAATTGGCTCGAATAGGACTCCCATGAAACTCAAATAGGAATCGAGCGGGAATCAAATGGACAGTTGTGATGACTCAGGCATTGAGATTATCTTGGGTGAGATTTGTCGAAGCCACAGGTAGCTTCTGTTTCCAGGATAACAGAAGTCGTCAGAAAATGAATCAATTAAAGAAAGATGTTTGTTTCAAATGCTTAACTTAAAACATAAAAGCTGTTACTTACATTTAACAAAGCTTTCTCGACAAGGTCATGAACCAAATCCACGCACTGACGTTTTTCACGCTGGTAGAGACATTCTTGTACCACATGTATCTGGTTTTCCACTTCCGCGTACAGTTTTTTTGTGACTCGTTTGGCACGTATCAAGTCGTTGATTTCTTTGGTCATATGATCAATCTCATCCGATAGTTCATTTTCCCAAAACACAATGTCTGACAACCGATCGCCCAGTTTACGATCGGATTCCTCCTGATTTAATTTGGTTCTCTCATTGATTTCATTGATCAAACGCTCGGAGTCGTAACGGAGACATTCGGCATCTTTTTCACCACGATCGTTTACCTGTAGCAAACGTTGGTAGCTAGCAAACCAGTCCCGTGGAGTGTAGCGAGTGTACAAAGCGTTCCGGGCTGCCGAATATACCGATGGAACTCGGATACCGCATAGTTCACTCAGATTATTTTCCGGAGCCGTATTGTCCACTAGGGAATGGGACAGAGGATAACGAGGGTTGGCTTTGGAAGCAGAATAGTATGTAGCTGGTCGGAAACCCACAGTAGATAAGGTACGCTTGTGTGGATATGGTGATGGGCAGGTAAATGAGGGGGTTTTGGCAATTTTCGGCAGAGCTGTTATACAAGGTAGTTTTGATACAGCAACCGGACGACGGGTGGAAGATAAATAACAAGTAGTCGGACTGTGCCCTACAAATTCCATGACTCAGACGATCAACTATACTGATCGCCGAATGTTCGATGAAGTAAACCCCGTAAAGCGTCAGTATGTATTTGAAAGAACTTCCGATTGATTTAAATAGAACTCTGGTATTAGAACGGTCGATTTTACTTCGTCGATCACATGATGCATGTGCAGCGATCAAAGCGTACTTTTTACTATCAGTTCGTAAAGTGGTTGGTTGATAAAATGAGAATAAAAGAGGTATAGCATGCAGAATGCTGTCCCGAGTACTCGGAAGCTACGTGTTATTTTGGTATCACATTTTCGGACATCATGATTGTATCACGAAAACAACAATAAGAGACTTATTTATAATTGCTTCTTTTTGCCATTGTTTTAGTTATTTCATTCATGTAGGTTTATCATTTTCACTCCAACTTTTACCGAATCATTTTTCTGGAGCATCACTCATTGTAGAAAAACTGATATTACTAGGAAAAATGCTCTCTGGGAATAGCGCTAAACTGAAGAAGACTCCTAACATAGATCTTGTAGGCGCTTAAAATCAAAACATTGGGACCCGCAAAAAAATTGGAATCTATCAGATTTGATCCATAAATGACAAACCATTGATAACGATTCAAATTCTTGTTCCCCTAGGCACCCAAATCTTATTGTACAGTTCTGAAAATAAATGGGTTTAGTAGGTCGAACATAATGAGAACTACGTCAGGATGGATGTAAACTGATGCAAAATATCTTCGAGAAATTGAAACAGTTCCAGTACGTTTTTTGTTTATAAAATATATTTGTTAATTTAGTAATATGAGCACATTGTTGTACGTATGTTTTGGCAAAAGTATTTCGATCATTGAATTTCATACTGACGTTCATAGTTTTCACGATGACTATCAAATGGGGACGGAAGGTTGTGCGTTTTAATTCTGGAAACATACTCTTGCTTGTTTACTTATCTAAATTCCCTCGAATGCCCTTAAGTGACCGCTTCCTACTTCGGAGAAATTGATTGTGATTATAGATTTGCTAATTATAGTTTAAGTCGTTGACAGTTACCTAGCCTAGATGTATCCATCATCAATTCGGTTTCAGAGCTCCTATACGCAAAAATTGGGTTTGTTTCACCATGGGACTGCCCCATTCTGTTGTTCGTCCCATTGAGAAGTACTATTTAATTCAACCAAAAATTGTTAATGTTATTACCCTTAGTACCAATTCTACTAATTAGTTAGCTCTCCACAGATCAATATGGGCTATGACACGGATCGCTAAAAGACTGCATTGTGATTCCTGGTTTAATTTCTGTTCAACAAGAACAAATGATTAATAGTAGCAACGGAAATCGGAGAATAACCATATATGCTGAACATTTATCTTGCCCAAAATATGCTTCTCTGTTCAGTTCCTAAGTGCACCTTTCCCACTGAACATGGTGTATTTATCATGTGGGATCATGTAAAATATTAATAGAATTAGATAAACACTCATCTGTTTGATGATTTGCTTCCCTTTCAATAAATACATATCTGCATATGCAAATATCAGAAGGAAAAATTTTACGTAGAAGGTATTGTCTAATAAGACAAATAAAAGGGCGGTAATGAGGTTTAAACTAGAGATATCCTGCGTCCTACTAAAGTGATTAATAATGCCTAATCACCACCGCGTCTGACGGGTTAATCCCACACGGTGCACTCATTAACGCCTCAGTTTAGGATGCTTGCCATACAGCACGCTGTCATTGGAATACATGAATTGGCGCTTATTACAATCTTCAATTCAAGGCCAATCAATAACATACTTTATTCAACCATTGTGGACTGGATTTCATTAAAAACGTTATTGCGCTGGCTTTGGTTTACATGCAGGTAAAAGCGACTTAGTAACATGATATTCTGTGGAAATGCAGTAATAATGAAGAGTAAGAGACGCGCAGATAATACAGAAACTGCTGAATGATTCGCATCAAATTGTGTCTCAGTTCACGTGTTTGGTGTCCCATGGCAACCAATAAACTAGAAAAATTAGGTACTACATAATAACCAAAAGATGGAGTGCAAATGTGCAACTGTTTAAATTTAGTATGGGTGACAGAAACAGAGAAGGATCGAGAAAGAGGGAGAGAATCTAGTGTACAGGCTCTCATTCGTTAGATCAGATTGAGTCACACAAACAGTCACATGCCTCAAGGTGTTGGTTGAAAATGGGGTCAATCAGTGCGGCATAACGGACAAATCCACTTCTGCAGAAACTTTTCAAAACGTGTCTGATCAACATGAAATCCTCAAACAACAGACCGGGAAGATAATAATCCACTCAATCTTACATAGTACAGAGGATAAATCACCTGGTCGAAACTTCCCATTTTCTTAGGTGGTACTGGGGAGATGTGAATTTTACAGTATCCATCATCTATTCAACTGACATTTAATAACGATAAAAGAAACCACTTATGTCAAGTGATTTAGACATGTTTAATCTAGAAGAAAATGCCATCCTCATTCAACTTATGGTTGACATCCGTTGCAAAATGTTACTGTACAAAAAATGATCTCATAAAGATTGCGCGATTGTGACTGTGAAACACCGACTGTTTCTAAACTTGGAGACTTAGAGTGAATGGTACTCGGAATCGAATAATAAAAGCGCTCACTAAAGATTCCCTGGGTTCTTTCGACATAAATGCGCTCGTAGTTCAATTGTCAAGTTTCAGTGTCCGTTTTTACAACCATTAACTATGCACTTTCGTGCACCGGTTTTGGTTGCTGTCTTTTAGCCACCCGTTTGGACAAAGAGAAGGATAAAGATTGGAATGTTGAAAGCAAAATCTAGCGGAACATAGATAATTCATATGAACTGGTGAGTTGATGCACGACCGTCACTGTTTACGTGACCCAGCCATATCCTCAGTGTCCCTAACCATTGATGACCGTGATATCAGGGTCCCCAGCCAGGTAACCTAACGTGACCTATATGGGTGCGTCTCCTGGTCAGGGTTTTCATGCCCTCATACCAGGTCTTAGTTTGACCACCCTTGACCTTTTTCCAACCGCTACCTGCTCGCCGTGGCAACCTATCTGGAGACATGCGTAACACATGCCCCAACCAACGTAATCTATGAAGGTCAGCTACCTGCTCCAGTGGACGACTGTGACTATCTAAAACTCTACGCCTAACCTCAGCATTGCTTATTTGGTTACCACACCACAATCGAGCAGTAAGACGTAGACAGCGGTGTTCGAACACCGACAATCTATTTTTATCCTGTTCCCGTAATGACCAAGTCTCTGCACCATATAGCAGAACTGGCTGAACTGCTCGACCCTTTACAGAGAGCGGGATGTCGT